AGTTCATTTTAGATTCAAAAGAGGCATTTAACATGCAAAATTGAATGCAGATAAGAAATTAACACCATAAATTCACAATTTACCATTCATTTTTCTAATTTAAATATGATAAAACGTATCTGGAGTTTAAATTCTATTACTAGAGACATCGTACCCATCTTAGAATGAGTAATTTTCCATAAGCCAAATGAAACTAAGCATCATATGTAAAATATGGATCATAAGTTGTACTATGCTTTCATGATTACCAATATCTAGTTTATCAAGATAGGGCATAGGTCACTTCTGAAAATTTATAGTGTTAATGTTGTGTCTTCTAAAGTACTTCAATCCGACATATATTTTCTCACACAATGTGAATTAAATTCGGTGCAATTGCCCGCATAGAAACTGTTGCTAATAGCATTATACATTTCTTGTATTTTCAATTCAAGTGATGCATTAATGATATTGGTAAATTCTAATTTGCCTTCAAGCATTCTGAAATAATTTTAACTTCTAAGGCTTAAATTAATAATAGCCTAAACAGAATAATCTATCAATTTTAATCAAACTAATTTATTAAAAAACAATTTTGAACATCAAAATCAAAATACTAGCATCGATTCACAATACTAATATATTCAATAATGAATAAAGATTTTCCCCCTAGTCATGGATGAGATGTGCATGACTAAGCGTGCTAATTCAATTTTTTTTCCAGATGCAATGCCCTTGTTCAAGTGTGAAACTGATAGGAAACTTGAAGACCTCAAGTAATTCATATCAATTTTTAGAAAAGCAGTGAAAATCCTCCACAAGAATCCATACAAAACCACGAAAACAATAGATAATTTGTATTATTTGATGAAAGGGAAATGGAAAATAGCAAGATACAATTGATCCTCTATTCGAGAGGAAGATCGATCTCTCCCAAATCTCTAGACGCCCCTAGAGCCCAAAAGAAAACCTAGATCTAAGAGATCTCAAATTTCAGTCAAATTCAAGATGCCCTAACCCTAGGAAAATAAACTCTTTAATGCATACAATTCAAAAGGAAATCCCTAAACAATCCCTACATTCAAATTGCCCTCCCAAATCCCTCAAAAATCCTTCCTAAAATGCTCTGTTGGCTTTGGCGGCTCGGTCGCTCGAAAAGGAAGAGGCGGAACTCTTCCGCCTGTTCCGCCTGAGCCGGTCCCGCCTGGATCGACTGGACCGGTCTAACAATACTCCCCTCCCAAAGATCCACATTGTCTGCAAGGTGAAAAGACGACACCCTCCTCCATTCCTTCTTCATCACAAACGGTAAGAACTTGAAGAGTTCGGTCCTTACACCTGTGCCCCGACGTATACCTCTCATCACATCTGAAATAGATCCCCTTTGTCATCTTCTCCTGTAATTATGTTTATGTGAGCTTCTTGAAGTTGTTCCCATGTCTTTCTCATGTAATCTTCTCTTTCGAAGTCTCCCTAAGAGTACTCAATGATGGCTCCTTGCTTGTCAAAAAGGTGATGGTCATCCTATATGAGCCTCCTGACTTGCTGCCTCTTGTTCCTTTTTCCAGGTGCCTCTGATCCTCCACCAACTGAGCTAACTCCATAGACTCTCCCAAGTCCTGATGTCTCATCACTCTGACTACTGTGTGGATCTTTAGTTTCAATCCATTCATAAAGTTCCCCTCCAGTACAGTCTCCGGAAGCTGATCCAATAGACTGGTAAGGTACTCAAGCTGCTCACGATACTCCATCATTATCTCCTCCTACACCAAAGCAAAGAACTGCTCATAGAAGTCCCCTCCCCTACTAGTTTGAAAATGTTCCAACAAGCAGTCCTTAAACTCCCTCCAAGTCCTTATTGGTCGCCTCGTATCCCTCCATTGGTACCATGCTAAAGCTTTCCCTTCTAAGCACATCCCGGCTTCCATCAATCTCTCCTCCTCCGTCAACTTGTTGACGTAAAGTACCTTTCCACCTTGTAGATCAACCCATAGGCATCCTCTCCCTCAAAAATAGGCATCTTCAGCTTCCTCACCCTCAGATCGCCTATGTTCCCTTTGTTCCCTTCATAACTTCCCCTTTCCCAAGGGGGGTGGTTCCCCCTAAGTGTCCCAATCATCCCTCTATGTTCCCACTTTCTCCTCTCAAATTCCGCACCTCTTGAATCATAACAAATCCCTCGCCTTTCAAATTCATCTCCACTTTGGTCATAATTACTCATTTCCCTTTCCAACCGCGCCCCTCTCCTCTCTAAATCAGCACATCTTCGTTCTTGTCATACCTCCTCACACCTCTCCTCAAACCCTCTACCAGGTTCCTCCCTAGGAGAGGTATTCTCTCTTCTCCCTTTCGAGTCACCGCCTCCTGATCTACCCTTTGACTTATTGGATTAGAGTTTTCCCCGCTTCCTGGTTTGTCGGAGGCTTCTCTCGCCTTTAACGGCACCATTGGCCCTAGAGCAACTTCTTCAACATCTCCCCCAGGTTGGAAAAATTCTCATCCATCTTCTCGTTGATGGCTGAAATTTGACTTTTGATATCATAAAGTTGAGCGTGGAGATTTGAAATTTCAGTTTTTAATTGTTCGATCTCCCCTTCCAAGCGTTCCTCCAACAAATCCACTTTTTTGGCCACCATCGATATCCTAATCTTTGTTGGACTCAAAAATCTGAATCTCGATTCCAAAAATAGCAAAACAACCCCCTTCCGGTTAAAATTCAGCTGTTGATTTTCTCCGAAAACTCCACTAAACAGTCCCAAAATAAGCTATGATACCAATTTGATAGGAAACACTTGAAGATCTCAAGTAATTCCTATCAATCTTTACAGCAAAAATCCTCCACAAGAATCCACAAAAAACCATGAAAACAGTAGATATTTTGTATTATTTGATGAAAGGGAAATGGAAAATAGCAAGATACAATTGATCCTCTATTCGAGAGGAGGATCGAGATCTCTCCCAAATCTCTAAACGCTGCTAGAGCCCAAAAGAAAACTTAAATCTAAGAGATCTCAAATTTCATCCAAATTCAAGATGCCCTAACCGTCGGAAAATAAACTACTTAATGTATACAATTCAAAAGGAAATCACTAAATAGTCCCTACATTCATATTTCCCTCCCAAATCCCTCAAAAATCCTTCCTAAAATGCTTCGTTAGCTTTGGCGGCTCGTTCACTCGAAAAGGAAGAGGCTGAACTCTTCCGCCTATTCCACCTGAGCCAGTCCCGCGTGGACCGGTTGGACTGGTCCATTGGACCGGTCTAACATAAACTTGAGATTTAAAGTTAGGAAATTTCACACCTTATTTTAAATCATTTTCTCATTTACTTAGCCATTTTCTCATAACATCTGAACATTTGTGTTATTTCCACCTCAAACCATTACCTTAGTCCAAGAGGTTTTTGCCTTCGTTTTCTTTTATCAAGTTTGTTCAAATTTTTTTCTAACTAAAAAACATAAACTAAGGTGATGCCAAATAGTTACAAAATACGCATTATGGCAGTAAGCTTAATGAATAATGCAGATTGCAGTAATGATGACAATGAGAATTATGCAATAGGTTAATAAAACATAATCTTAGAATATTCATATTTGTCTCAAAGAATCAATTTGGTTCTAAGCCAAAAAAGATGTACAATTGAGACAATTCCATGCTGTCAATTAACGAATTGTAAAGAGCACTACTGATGCGGTGCATCATTTGTGTGAAGAATTTTAAGATGTTTGGTCAAAGACCAACCAAAGCTATGGGATGAATTATTGAGGCAGGCTAAATTTTCATCAATACAATGCCAAATCTATCGACCGACCAATGTCCTTTTAGTATTGTTTGTATGAAGACACCTAACCACACTATTGATATTGCAGTTTTACCAAAATGTAACAACATTGCCAATAATTTCACCAACTTAATCATTGATATCCACAACAAACTTATTGCTTCCAATAATAGTTATAATCTTGTCGTTGATTCCCACTGTCGCCGCAAAGTTTTCAATCCGGGTGATTTGGTTATGGTTCGTATGTGTCAAAAACGCATTTAAAGTTATCACGCTAAAAAGTGGATGCTTTCCCCATTTTACAAAAAATTGATGATAACGCATACGTCATTGACTTACAACACTTCTTCCACTTCCACATTTAATATTTCTGATCTCTATACTTCCCTCCGACAATGCTCAATCCACTTTAACCTTAGCAAATGAGGCCCCTTCTTCAGCCGGGGCGATCTGATGCAGTGCATCATTTGTGTGAGGGAATAACTCACATGCTTACTTTACCTTTCTATTTTAAATCGTTATAGCCTCCACTACCAAGTTATCTTTTTTAGTAACAATAGTATTATATCCCTTTTTTTCTGTTAGGATTCTCTTTTAGTAAAAACTAGCTCCAGCTTGAGAGCAGGAAAAGCATATGTATCAGGGGAAGAAAAGGAAATTATAGATGATATGATATACTAGGATTTGAACTCAATTTGATTTATTATTCTTACTCTTGCTCTATTTCTCATTCCTGTAGCTCCTTTGTTCTGAGGGTTCTACACTAACTAAAATTTCACATGTTTTTGTTAACATTGAATGCGCATATGGTATAGTGCAGCTTGAATTAATTTAGCAAACATTAAAGTGGAAAAGCATTTTTTTCCCAAGGCATGTTGAAGGCACACAGATGTGTTTTAAAAGGGATTATTTTTATAGCTTGTAACAAATTTACAATTTTGTTTAAATTTCAACCACAAAAACGAACTTGTGGCAAACTTTTGAATATCTGATTATCCAAGAATTTCCATTTATCTTGGAGAGAAAAATTTGTAACTCCACAAATTAAAAAAAAAATGGGCCTTATGTTACTGAATCTGACATAGACAAAAAATAGCTACATATACGGAATCTGTCAGTACCAAATAATTATAGATCTCAAGTCATGAACGAAATTTGAGAAAAAAACAAAACCCAAAAAGGACTGGTAACAATGTAATCAAAAACCATTGCAACAAGACATGATATATCCAATGCGCTACCTCTCTTAACAAAAAGATTTTTCTTCGCCATCTCTGTATGAAGAGCGGACTTTGAATCCGCATCAAACACCAAGTCCTAACCAAATACCGAACACTTTAGCATGCTCTTGGCATCAAGAAACAAAGCAAAACAATAGGAAATCTAAGTGGGAGAAACGATCACCTGGAGCGCAGTTTTAGCGGCCATAGCATGCTGGGCAGTGGAGAAAAGAGCGAAACCCATGGGCAGATCCCCTTTCGAGTTGATCTGAGACGCCTCGAAGCCAGGCAGCCAACGCAGAAGGTTATGAAGCTCCCTCTCCTTCACGTCTGCAGGAAGGCCAGCGATGAAGATCGTCCGAACCTAGAAAAAGAACGAGAGAGAGAAAGAGATGGATAAATATCGTTGGTTAGACGAGCGGTAAGGAATACTGTCAGGTTACCTCGTCGTTCGTTGGGCGGGCAGGAACGGCGATGGATGGAGGAGTAGAGATTGATGGCGGCGGGGGCGCAAGCTGAGCCCATGGCTGGTGGAAGTGATGTATGCCGGGACCTGCCATGAGGAGTAAACCCTAACTCTTTCGTCGCTGAGGTGCGGGACCGTAGACCCCTGCAGCGGACTGCACAGAGAAGCTTTTCAAAGGCAGAGCCCCGTTGATCGTAATTATATAAATCGAGCCCGATTCAATAATAAAAATTCGAATGCACAATAAAAAATTAAAAAAAAAAATTGTTTGCATATATTTATTTGTATTATGTAAAGATAATAGAGATAGATTTTAATTGTTTTAATTTGAATGATAGCCCATGCGTGATAAAAATAAAATAAAATGATTAGAGGACATTTCAAAAAGAAAAAAAAAATATTAGGCTTAGCTTAATTGAAATAGGGCATTTCACTAATAATACATAGGAGCTACAAATATAGTAATTTATATGATATGAAAATAAGTATATAATATGAAGCAGTTGATGATGACTGTATTAGTCCTCTTACTAGAGGTGAAGGCGGTATGACCTTACAGTTAGGTGATGCAAAAAGCTTATGTGAGCTATTAGGGATGGTCAATTAATTCTCATCTTAAATGTATAAGTTGAACAACGAAGACAACATCGAAGCAAACATAGAAAGGTAATGTTGATGACTATAAGTAGATAGTGTGACCCTTCTTCTAGAGAGAAAATTGATTTAACCTAAAAGTAAGCAAACATAGAAAGGTAATGTTGATGACTATAAGTAGATAGGGTGGCCCTTCTTCTAGAGAGATAATTGATTTAACCTAAAAGTAGTGATGTGGTAATGCGAGGAGGTCACGGAGGATAGTAAAACTATCTACAAGTTTCGTTGAAGAAAATTTAGAAGTGTTATGTGGACAGCAATGAAGTGCAATTGAGATAGTTTCTCTTCTGAAAAGATGAGATGCCAAACAATTAGAGCCTGTGGATGATTAAAGGCAATCAATATAATTTATCTCCAATAAGATACAATTGATTTAATGATCTAGAGGTGATAAACCACCAAAGACATTTCGTATTATAAAAGAAAAGAGCTCCAAAACAATCCGGACTAATAATAAAAGGTAGGGATTAATAATCTCTCTTTTGGAAGAAGATAACGACTATGTAACTCGAAGCTAATAATGAGGGGGGGAAATATTTCTTATCTTAGAAGTTGAGGAATAGTTCTTATCTTACAAGTTGAGGCTATACTCCTCAAAGTCGGTAGTGAGGAGACACATTAAAAAACAAATCATTTTCAATAGATTCTTCCTATAAAATGTCAAAAAAAAATTTATAATCACCCACGTTAAGGCAAATTTATAGTGAAAAATCTTGCCATCGAAAAAAAATTGTCAATCTACTGATTTTTTTGGTGACCCCACAATATGTCAGAAATAGATTTTCTTAAGGATTAGACTGTCAGTACTTACCTATGGTCATATAGTCAAAACTACGCAATAATTCTAATGCAATTTGTTTATTAAAAAATTTCAAACTAACTATCCACCAAAATTCATATTGAACTTTTTGTTAGTAGTTATTACTATATTGTCCACCCTATGATCAAGCTATGCTAAAAAGATCATTTGTTTCAATGCTTTTTATGTGGTAGCAATTTCATGAGGAGTTAGCCATATAAATATCATCCATTGAACATAATGTCATTTGTGTAATAAAAAATAATATAAAAAATATCTCTTAAAATAGAATAAAAATATGTATGTAATAAAATATAACATAATTTGACATAAAAAATAAATTTATTTAAAAAAATATATATTTATGATGAACATGGAAGAGTAGATTTTGAAAGATATGAGCTTCCCTTAATAGAAGATGATTAATAGAGATGATATGTACTTGAGAAGGCAATACAAAGGTATATTTCTCAAGTGAGCAAGAGTTGACTTGAGAAGTCAACTTATGGGGTGGAATATTGAGGAGGTCAAAAGGTTCACTAAGAAAGGAAATTTATTTGTAGCTTGCTCATGTTTGGCTTGTGTGGAGTGAGGATGCGAGGTTGGAGGGTGAGGAGTGTGAAGATGTGGGGAGGGTTGGGAAGATTAGGGCATATGAATGAGGAGGAATTTAAGGGCTTAATTTAATTTAGTTGGATTTTTCCTTAAATGAGAGTTTGAGAGCTTGATGATGAGTTATTGAGGATAAATAAAGTTGAAGGGAAGAAACGGAGAGTATTGCATGTTGGAAAAAAAAAAAGAAATAAATATGCAAATATGCACAATCATTGTAAAGAATTACAATGATTTGCCACCAAGCCTCCAATCTAAGTATTCGCCACCAAGCTCTTCAAAGAGTGAAGATGAGCTTGCTCAAATGTTTATTATGTAAAAAAATCTATCTTGCACCAACTTCAACATATTTATCTCTTTATATAAGCATCTGACATGCAAAAATAAGAAAAAATGAGGTTACAACTTACAACATGAGGTGATTGATAGTTGTAATGATGGGGGCCAAAGTTATTTATTTGGAAATTGGCATGGATAGAGTTTGAATTTTTTTTCTTGATGTTGTTTGAATCATCCTTGATGTCTTCGATTAAAATTTGAATTTAGAGTGAAGAGGTTAGCAATGTTACATGGCATGGAGCTATTGATTTTGTTGGATCCAAAATTGTCCATAACTTCAAGACTTTAGTAAGAAAAATGGAGAATAAATAAGAAAAAAAGAATTTGGATAAAGAGATTCTAGAGTGAGAAGCTTCATCATTCATTAGATTGTTGAACCTATAAGATTTAAGTATTGGTACAACTGAAAACTCAACTGAATCAAAATCTTTCCAGATGACTGAAACTAAGATTTTCAAATAAGAGTTTAGGTTGTGTAGAATGAAATATTATTTTAAATTCAACAACTATACATCCACAATCCACTTAAATGACAGAACTAGAGAACAAATTTGACAACTAATTTTTATCCTTCAATTAAAACAATATAATATAGTTTATTCGAATCAAGATTGTCACAACTTTAAGGAAACCTAAGATAATCTTTAATGATAGTTTAAAATGGTAATTAATTAATTAATTATGATTAATAATGTATAATTAGCCATGACAGGTTCTTACTTATTATTAAAGTTTCTTTGCAAATCTTTTGACTGACAAATCTAAATAGAATGGTTAACAAAAAGTTTGATTTATAAAACATGCAGCAACATATAAAGAAAGAATATTAGAAATGCATCCAAAACACAAGCACAGAAGATTTTCATGGTTCGATAAATATGTGTCTACATCTACGTGGAGAAAGAAAGGGCTTATCTTTTATTAACTTTCTCATTTTACCAGAGCATGGCATTTACCAATTATATTAGAAATTATCATGAATCAAGCTAATGAAACATATAAATAAAGAAAGAAAAAATATCACTTGATAATATTGAACCTGATCTATTATAAGAAAAAAAAAAGAATAGTTTTCTGATCTACTCTGCCTTGATGTAGCTCTAGATCCTTTCTTCTTTCTCAATTTCTTGCAAATTTGCCAACCCAACCAATGCCTTAAATTGGTTTTTCCATTGTCTTTGCCAGCACAAGATCTCAAAACTACAAGAACAATCATAGGAATCTCACCTCTTGCTTCCATGCTCAAATGCGCCTCTTTCTTCTCAAATCTCCTAGAAAAGTAGAAATCACCCAAGAGAGAACTCTTGGTCTCATCTTCGACCTCACTCTCATCTTTAAACACCAACAACTCTCGATTTGGCACACTCCCAACTTAGTTTGGTCCCACCTGTTCATATAAAAGCAAAATAAAGCAAAGAAAATGGTAACATAAGAGACTATATGCATGCCTACACAAAGAAACCAAATGTTGTTAGCAATAAAGCAAGAATTTAAAACTAATTTTTAGTGTAAATTAGTAGAGTAAATATTTGATTCAATTTTTTTAACAATCTCCACTTTAAATCAAGTAGATAAGCCAAGCTATCTCTTTCTCCCAAAGCCTCCTTATCCAAGAGGCCTACCTACTTGAAGCAGAGCTAGGTAATGCTGAAATTTGGTTCCATATATTACATTTTTTGAGTATGTCAGTAGGATTCTTGTATGTATAAACTTTTTAAACATCCATTCCAAAACATCACTGATAAATACAATCTGATATCAATATGATTTGTTCTTTCATGAAATACTCGATTCTTCATGAAATACCTAATTCTTCATTAGTTGAATTGCACATTTAACTGTCACATCATGTAACAATTTTTTTAATTTTGTGTTCTCAAGCTCCTCAAGGAAACTCTTCATCCAAATTATTTTATTTCTTCAATAATAGCCATGTATTCTACCTCTACGATTGATAAGGCCACAACTAATTAAAGATTAAATTTTTAACTCATTGTGTCATCGTAATTGTTAAGACGTAACCTATCAACGATCTACATATATCCAGATCTCATACATGATAAGAATCCACAAAACCTAAAATATGCTCTCTAGCCGATTTTACTTTTTGTAAGTCAAACCAACATAATTTGATCCTTTGAGATTTTCGAAAATCCACTTAGTAACCCTCAAGTTCTCTTTTCTATTATTAGCCATAAATAAGCAAATCATACTTGTGGCATGTGCTATATTTGGCGTAGTGCAAAACATAAAGTATGTAAGTCTACCAACTACACTTTATTTATTTATTTATTTATTTTTAAGTCTACCAACTACAATTGCATAGGGTACTAACCCCATATACCTATGATCATCCATTGTTGTTATAGATTGTGACACAAAAAGCCGAATTATGAACCTGATAGGGGTGAAATTGATTTGATTATATCCATTCTAAATTTCTTCATAACTTTTTAGATATCTTTGTGTTAAGATAAATATAACAAGTTTTTATTTATTTTTCTTATTATATCTATCCCAATGATACACCTGACCTCACACAAATCTTTCTTCTCAAAATGATTGTTAGAAGCTTCTTTAACTCTGCTATCTCCAAAGAACTATCACCGGCTATAAGCATATCATCGACGGATATAAGCAAAAATATTACTCTGTTCTCTAAGAATCTTTGGTAGTAAACATACATATCAAAAGTGTTTCTTTTGAAATAATTATGAAGCATAAATGAGTTACATTTCTTATGCCACTATCGCGGAGATTGCTTTAGCCAACA